AATGCTATCACTTTAAAATCCAAAATGGTTGCCACTTGTAAAGATTCAAAATGGCTGTACCCTCAGTCACTTTAAATATCCAAAGTGGCTGCTGCTTGTAAAGATTCAAAATGGCTACGCCCTTGGTCACTTTAAATATACAAAATGGCCACTGCTTGTAAATATTCAGAATGGCTGCACCCTCGATCACTTTAAATACCCAAAATGGCTGCCGCATGTAAACAATCAAAATGGCTGCGCCCTCCAGACAGCAAGTCCACGGCTCAGGTTGTCTCCCTCCTAGTTGTTTCCCTTCCTAGTCATAGGTCACCAGCACAGTTGTCCCTGCAGCCCTTGGTGGCCAGGGTTGATCTTTAGGTCAGTTCTCAGGTCCCAACTCCACTTGGAAATATTCAGGCTGTTGGTCATGTCAGAGTAGTTGAGAGTCCGCAGCTCCAACTGTTTCTGTACTCACTGTTTTCATTCAGGTTTTTCCACTAGTTGGTGCCTAATCCACTTCTGTATAGTTCCTTTCAAAGCACAGGGCTCCAGGATTATCTTCTGTATCTTTGTCAATTGGTTTTTCTTTTCTTTGTTGAAGAGGGTCTGTGACGCTTGTCTGCCTATTCCTCCATCTTACCGGAAGTCCAGAACTTCATTTTCATTTATCTTGTCTTTCCTAGACCTAAAAGAGAATAGAATATGAAAAAGTTAGTAGACTTTTAAACAATGGGAATGCCTAAAATAAATTGCAGTTTGTAAGCCCTGCCAGTATAGGTTAAAACTTTTAAAAGCCATAAAAAGTAAAATTTACGTATTGTTTAGGAGCATAGACAAGTGTAAAAAGGAGAGCACTCAACCGTTACTCCATTCCTTGGAGATAACTGTTAGGAAACCCTCTGCAGAGTTTCTTCTAGTCTGTCTTTCTGTGCATTAGGTGCATAGTTGAAATGATGGCATGTATACCCGTATGTGGGTGTGTGTTGTCTTCTGAAATCCTGACCTAGCACTTCTCCATGTTGTTAAACCCCTTTTTAAAATT